TAAAAATCTGGTTTATTCGAAGCGAAATTGGGAATAAGTCTTTAGTTGAAATAGATAAGCAATTTAATATAAGTAAGTCGATTTTGCAGAGACATGTAACAAGATCAATGAAATCTCAAGGTGGACAAAAATGTCTAAGTAATACTTAATAAAATATTTAATATTTGTTCAGAGTGGGGGTTCATCTGATTAATCCATGGAATAACCGACACACCTAATCTCTTAACCCAGATAGAAATATCAGCACTGTCGATTGCACCTATAATTGAGGTGATGTCTGCCATGTACTTTTGTCAGTTTTTAAATTTTTTTTACTGATGATCACTTTGTTAGTGCAACTAAATAAATAAATTAATTAAAACTATATATAAAAATAAAAGTAGTGCCAACCCTAGCAAATTTCTCATTTCGTCCCAATTAACCGCAATTTTCGGGTAAATAGGGATTACACCTATTTTTGCATTTTTTGCTTAAACTGGAATGCTAGTTGCATAATTTTAAATTGGACAACAAAAATGCCCCCAAGACTCAATCATTTTGATCCGGATATAGCATTATATACATCAACAACTACCTTAAAACTGCTCATAAAGTTGGAATTTGTCCCTAATCGCCCCATTTTACGGTACATAATGGTGTTAACTTTTATAATTCACCTCATGTCATTCGATTTGCTTTCATTCCATTCCATTTCACGAAGAAAAAAAAGTTAATCGTAAATAACGTAGTGATGTACTGAGTCAACTACTTTATATCCGAGAAGATGAGTACGTGAGTCTGTAATAGGAGTACGTTATAACGTATAAAGAAGGTTAGTTGCTTTAAAGCCAATAAATAGCTATGGTAATATAATGACAACGCAATGTGGCATTCTGTTAATCTCGGAAGTCAAATTGTTACGTTGTGTAGTAATATCTTTTCTCTGAATGACACATTTTTCTGATAAAGTAACAACTTCAGACTTATTCATAAAAAAGTTTTATTGAAAAGACGTTTCGTACTTATTAATGGAACAATGGGATTAGTGGGAATAGTTTAGTAAGTAATAATAATAAGGAAGAATAGTTTTTAATATTCATTATCTCTGAAAAAGTGGTAGAGGTCGCTCTATGATTTGTATCATAATCTAATCTCTAAAACCTAACATCATCAGTAGACAGAGCTCTTCCTGTCAAATTTGAGAATTAAAGTTCTTTTATCCAATAGTAGGTTCTATAAAAGTTTTCACGGAGAATTAGTGTTCGATTTAGAAGAATCGGCTATTACATCCAAGGAAGACAGCAGACGCGTACATGGCACAAGACAACTACACTAATTTAATAATCCACCGTCATTAATTCTGAAGATCCTGATCAAGATAATTGAACAATAAAATGATTGTAATGGCGTAGGTCTTTAATAAGTGTGCGACTCTTTAAAGTGGGTTAAAATCACGATCAAAGATTCCATAAATACAAACCAAGCTAATAATAACGTGTTAATATTCGATTTCTGTTGAGAAATCGTTGCGTGAAAAATATATGGTTATTGAATAAAGAATGTTGCTACATTTCATCATCATTATTTTTTTATTGCCCTTGTAGGCAGACGAGCATAAGGCCCACCTGATGGTGAGTGGTTACCGTCACCCATGGACTTAAGCAATGCCAGGGGTAGAGCCAAACCACTGCCTACCGATAATGAATCGATATTGAAACATTTCACAACGACATATTGTATTAGATTCTAATCTGAAACTTCTACTCTATTCACATACTAGTCTTGGCACATGCATATTTGGGACAGCACTAGTGAAGTCTGACACGAGTGAAAACCAAAGAGTATAGACTACATACCTACAACGAATCGGGTATTAATATGTGAACACGCGTACGTTTATTAATGTATTGTGTTTTCCACATTTTATAACAAAATAACCAGATACAATTAAATTATTCACAATATTTTGTAAGATCAAAAATAAATTCTTTTCGCTGTAAGTATCACCGCAAATCAATATGGTTAAAATTGTTTAAAAACTGCTTAGACTATTTATCGGAACATTTCATGTCGGTATTTACAATTGTGCAAAAAGTTTGCATTTCTAGAAATTTTGTTTAGTTTAAAATGTTTATAAACCCATAATTTAAGGTTTTTATTATTGTTTGGAAAATCACCATGCATTTGCACGGATTTGTAGAGCAATGGTTAGAATGCACATGACCGTTACAGATTTTCGCGGTAATAAGCGGGTGTTTTGTGAAAGACAATTTCACCTCCTTTATTGTTTATCTGTATCGTTTTATATGCAATATAATATTAAACCTTAGTTTTGGAAGTTCGTTTTTTACTTTTACAATATTTATTAAACCGTAATACTTATACTTTTAGTTTTAAGAAATATTTGTCATCCAAACCTTCATACTGCTATCATATTAATATCAAACTGCTACCAGGAGCTCTTCTTATTTGGATATTGGTTACTGCAAATATGAAATGAGGTTCTTTAAAGTTAATTAAATTATCAGAATTCTAATTAAAGTGTCATTTTATTAAAATTCTTAAATTATATTTTATCCTTACTGGGAAATATTTTTTGATGAAAGAATTTAAAATATGCACTGTAAATAGCTCTAAATTGTTTTTGTATTAGATGGCTGATATGATTGAAGTATCAACAGCAACTCCGGCGGAGTTACTTGGTGCTGGTCGACGCCACTTGGCTGTTAGAGACTTTCATTCGGCTGCTGAAGTACTGGCCAAAGCTTGTGAACTGTTGGCTAAAGAACATGGTGACACGGCGGACCAGTGTGCTGAGGCATATTTATGGTATGTATGTGAATGTAATACAAAAAGTTCCTTTTACAGTCCAACACAAATAAAAAAAATTTAATTGAGAATTTTAATATTATTCTACAAATAATATTGTAATAGTATTTTAGTGAATAAGTTGATAGCTTATATAATGAGGTTTTATTCTCTTAATAGCTGAGTTAATCTTATGTGCAATTAAAGCCAAAAATTTGTAATAAATGTAATAAAAAAAGGACTGAAGAAATAATTTAAATCATGTTAAGTTAAATATTTTGTATATTATAGGTATGGCCAAGCACTATTAGGTTTGTCCAGGGACGAAAGTGGAGTTTTGGGAGATGGTATGCCAGGATCAGGCAATGTTGATGATGACGATGAAGGTATGATTAGAAAAAATGTTTTTTATTAACCAATTTAGTTGGTAGTTTTGATTTAAGAGCTTCAAGGTCTTATATCTGAGATGTCTAAAAGATGAGTCTTTTTTGGAATGGGTGGATTGCTGTTGGGCTTGAGGGCTTCCCAATTTCATCAGGACTGGTGGGCGAATGCACGGGCTCGGACAGAAAGACAAAAGTAAACTCAAGCTTGGTATTTCTGTTCATAGTTTTTGGGTTGGATTTTTGTTGACATCTGGTTTGATAAAAGATGTGGCTCTACCAATAAATATTGAAAAAAGAAAAGTTTGATAAAGTAGAAAGACAAAAGTGTTACCTACATATAAAGTTTAAATTATTGTCACCAGACAAAAAAAAAAACTTTCAAATGAACAACCTTTTTTAGCTAATGCCAAATTAATATTCAATGAAAATAATTTTTGGATGAAGCCACTTAGAGCCAAGTATATATTATGTGTAAAGCTTTAATGAAATTTAATCTAATTCAATTATTTTTGTGCAGAGATAAGCACAACTTGTAAAACATAATCTGAAATGTATATAATTTCTTGTGTCTGTGTTGCAAGTTTCCATACAAATTTTTTTTAGAACAAGGTGATGATGACAACAATGACAATGAACAAACAGAACAAAGCTGCGAACCTGAAAAGAGTAAAACTGAACACAACGAGGCTGAATCTACTTCGATGGAGGCTGATACATCAACAAAGGAAGCTGAGTCGAAACCGGCACAATCTACAACTAGTGATGCACCGGGTGCAAGTTCAGAGGTCACTGATAATGCTGAACCTGTGGGTGTATATTTTTATTTTTATTCCAAGTTAATGTTTTGTTGTTTAAAGTCATTGTTATCATGGTGACTGCATATTATAATTAATGTAATTAAAATAATAGTGTATAATTCCAAATTTTGTTATGACATAGACTCGGTGGGAATGGCATCACAATGTGAATTTGAAATCTATTAATTCCATCGTAATCGTAAATTGATGAGGTTTGAAATTTCAATTGTATTGTTTAATGACATACCCACCCTTTATTTAACCAAAACACATAATTGCTTTATAACAAATGGCTGAATAGTGTTAATTTATCATTCCTTTACTTGGCTCCATTCAACTAATTTGATACACCAACTTTTATAATTTCGCCCATACCTCAAGCGGTGATATATTTTGTCAAAACATAGAATGGCATTGACTCACCGATGATCTGATATACAAAATTACAAGGTTCTTCTTCCCCAAAAAATGAAGGTAACCTAGAAATATCTAATTTTATTTATTTTTCATTTAATAGAGCACAAGCAATGATGATGCTAATGATGAATCTGTCGTAAATATGGATAGTGAAGATGATGTCGACAATTTACAGCTTGCTTGGGAAATGCTTGGTAAATATAAATTGAAATGTCAATCTTTCATAACATATGTTAAAATTGCCTGTCTAAAATGTTGCCATTGGAATCTGGTGGGAAGAATAGGCAACCAGATACCTTTTTTTTCAATAATACTTTGTATTCATTAATAGGAATTATATCTCGCATACTATTTAATCATTGAGTTTGTGTTACAGTAAACTAAGAGTTTTACAGAGAACCCTTACAAGTGGATTTATCTATTTAGCTATTTAAAATAAAAAAATTACATATATTATTCATATTTCACAGAAATAGTAATTGAATTCTGAGTCTGCATGAGATTGTGCGGTACTTAAATATCTTATTGCGCGAGGTGATCCATCCGACATGGGATAGTAAAAGAATTAGGGTATAGAATGGAATATAATGGTCATGTGTTGGGGAATCATTAGTATGATCTGTCTATAACCGAGGAAATATATATCTTCAAGAAACATGCAAGCGTTATCCTCAAATGGGAGTATGTGCATATTGGACCACATACTGTAGATTGGGAGGAATAGGAACTAGGGGCAGAATAGGGACAAAGCTGGGTTGTCACAATGCTTTTGTGAGATTTAAATTTGTTGAATTGAAAAGGACTTTTATTTAGTATTTAAGAATATTTAATTGTTTAGTCATAAGAGTTTTGTAACTGATTAAAGATATTGAAAAGTTAATTACCTCAAGTTAAGTACCTACCTAACAACTAAACAGTGCCAGCCCTATCGAAAAACTCTATTCTCCTTATGTGACCCGATTCACCCCAAAAGCCAAGGTAGATCAGGTTAAGCTAGTTTTTAAGTTTTTGTGTATATTTTTCAATGAATTATGTATAATAAATAATGCATTGTATGTGAAAATTAAAATCTCCGGAATCATTTTAATCCCAAGTTTATTCATATTACCGTAAGAAAAACTGCTGAATTTGGGTTAGGATTGGAAAGCGTCCCGATTCCCCCCAATCTACTGTAAATTGTATATCAGACTACTTAAGTTTTTGCCTATAAACAAAATAGAGGTACTTTAAATAGAGAGACTTATTGAGGAACATAGACGATACTTTAGTGTGGGTAGTCATCATATACTGCACAATCCTGTAATTAACTGCGACCGACGTGTTCGCTTCAGACCTGGCCCGCAGTATACTGTCGCGGCGCGCGGCGGGCGGGGGCGAGGGCGCGGGGGGCGGCGCGGCGGCGCGGGCGCTGCTCGCCGACACGCACCTCGCGCTCGGGGAGGTCGCCCTCGAGAGCGAAACGTACGATAAAGCTGTTCTTGATATGCGTAAGTATTTGTACGGGTATTTCTAAATATTTTAAATGCTCTTAGCTACGTACCATGTAATGGCTGTAAATGTCCATTTGTAATGTGTTAATGTTAATTTTTTTTGTGCGATGCAACTGCAATTTGAAATAAAAACAACCAGTGGATGTATTCCAAAGACTGGATACCTGCATCTGGTTATCTTTTAACTAAGTTTGACTATGTACATTGTATACTAATAAATTGTATACAGACTATATTATATTGATATTAATTACATTCATATATTGATATGATTCATATGAATATTAAAAATTATGGCATATTGTGTAACTTGAGGTGTACGTTTAAAATAATGAAATATATTTGTAATAAAATTTTAATTCTTGCCAATGAAGTTGCAAGGTTTTTTTTTTGTAATGCAAACATTTGTTTAAGCTCATTTGTACATATCTAAATACTACATCTGATAGAATCCAATTAGATCTAAATTGTCCTGTCCTGGTAAAATTGGAACGGCTTCCGGGCGACCAGTAATCCTTCAATCATAAAAAAAAAGATCTAAATTGTTCTGATCTTTTACAGAGAGCTGCTTGGAGATCCAGAAGGAATTGTATCACAGCGACGACCGGCGTATTGCTGAAACACATTATCAAATTGGTGTGTACTACTTACTATATTTTCTATCGTAAGACATAACGCAGTAGTGGACAAAATATAATTTTCGATACAATGCTTGCTTTTTGACAGTGAACATGTGTAATGTATGTAGTGATAAATTTCATAAGTTTATGTAATCTGTTCTGCAATCACAAGACACTGCTGTTTCCTGCTCCTCCAGCTGTGGGTTAACGAGCTTACCCCCCATGGATTCACGTGTGTACAAGTATAACTTTCCCTTACAGCCTACACGGGTATCTTTTTTTTGTATTTTTTGCTACCTAAGCCTTGAGAGGCTATGTCAGCGTAACCGAGCGAGTAGGTGAGCTCACGGGGCTTAAACCTGACGAAGTTGTTAACACTGACCCTAGCAAGAGCCGTGCTTCGCAGAATCTCACCGGGTCGGTAACGCGACCCACTGAGAAGATCCGGCGAGAAACTCAGTGGACTGTGCGTTAGCTTACTCGAGCCCTTCGTCGCAAGCGACAGGTTCGTGAGAACGATGACCGGAACGGGTATCGATACCCGAGCTGTAAAAGGATAGAAAAATGAAAATTAGAATTATATTTTATATTGTGTGTGTATTATTATCTATGAATTTAAGTCTTGGAACTTTGAAATGTCCTTGTTTTAATCCTTGAAATAATCCGCAGGGCTGGCTAATTCCCTCGCTTCAAACTTCGAAGACGCGGTCACTCACTTCAAGAACGCCGCCAATATACTCGAAACCAGAATAAAGACTCTCGAGGGTCCAACCGCGGCCACGGACGACGCCACCGTCAAGAAGTACTCGTCAGCGGACCCGCTCTATACAATCGAAGGGGAGATCAAGGAATTGAAGGAACTTCTGCCGGAGATCCAAGAGAAAATTCAAGACATGATGGATTATAAAGCGGAGGTGAGGCCTTGTGAATGTGTAGAGGAGACTAGGAAAAAGCTAAGGGGATTGATTTTAAAAGAAAAGAATCGTACTGCTATGGACTGTCAGTCTTAAGTGGATGACAGTGCTCCGTAACTCACTTAGGGTTTAAAGTTATGTAAGTCTTAAGTTTTGATAATAAACAGTCCAAATCAGAAACAAAAGAAAATTACAAAATAAGTAAACTCAACTGCATTAAAAGTACGAAATTAAACAACGAAAAGTAATAACCAGTATACTATATTATAAGAAAGTAGGATAAACCAAGAATTACATTATGTTTTAAAAGTTCCCATCGGCAATGCATTTTGAGTTACATTTATAGTACATCTTTTATTATATTTCACTGTTTATTAAGCACCATTTTTAATACAGTTTGTTTTGCTTTTGCTAATTGCTTGTTCTTTTTAAACTTAGTTGTATTAAGGTTAATGTTAAATTTTTTCATAGCGATCTTGTAATGAGAGTGCTGAAGAGTCGTGCCGATATTTGTGATAAAAAGTATTGTAGATGTATACGTGTACGAACAGTATTATTCTTTGATCTTATAATTGTAAGTCTCGGATTTAGTGGTTGTTTTGAAGTTTAAAAAGACTGAAAGTAAATTGGCGTTGCCATCATTGTGCCCAAGTTTTATAATTCACATGGATTGGTCATTCTAACCGTTGTCAATAATGGGATACAAAGAAACAATTTATGTTATATAACCAGTATGCGTCTGCCTAAATTCTAGCATTTAGAATGTGCCTCAAAAAGCGTATGTAGTGGTGTAATAAATGGTTTCTCAATATCAAAACTTTTACACTATTAAGGAAATAATTTTTGCCTCATATTAGTAAGATATTTGTTTCAGTAAAATTAAGGTTTTTCCAAATCACAAGTAAAACTTGTTTGCCTTTGAAATGTGATAGAAATACTGTTGGAACTGTTCTTAATTAGTACGAGGAAGTTTAATTGAAAACCGATAAAAAATCGGTATATGTTTAAAGGTAGTTAAAGTTAGTTTTTTTGCCTAAGAAATAATGTTTATAAATTAAGAGCAGCTGTTTGAAATCTGTCAACGTTCCTATTTGTATGTCGCAGCAATCAGAGGATCTAAGTACTTCCGTCATAAGACCTTGCTGTTTGCTGACTCACTCGATTTTAGTATTAAAAAGTTGTGTCTTGATTACAATATAAGATTTCATATTATATTTTTAATGAATGTAAGCGCATTTTATAACCACATGGCCATTTTTGTACGGATATTTTTGTATCGTTTTTTTTTTAATATAAATAAAGTAATGTTCGAACATTGAAAGTTTTGTGTTATTTCAGACTCGCGTACATTGATGGCCGTGTGGGCTCGGGTAGTTAACTGACGGTCATGGTCATTGGTCATCGACTTACCTAATAGAAGTCCGTTTGTAAATTATCCAAAGTTTTGAGAATTTTTGAAAAAACCATCGCGTTGTTTTAAATTTGTCTAGTTGTATTTTTGATTTAGAATTTCGGTGAATTCTAAATTGATATAATATTTTTTCATTATATTTAGATGCGATGAGATGAGATTTAGATGCACTGCTCATTGCGGATTAAGGGTCGCCGCACGCAGGCCACCGGCCACAACCACAAAACGCCGCCACCGGAATATTTCCTGTAATTTTATACATTTTATATGTAGCGTGTGGCGGCCACCTCCGTCAACCGTGTGCGGCGACCCTAAGGGGTTGTCGCAGCCCATAAATACTCCTATGTAATGTCTTAGACTCGATATTTTGCCAGAGATTTTTTTCTCTGGAAAAAATCGCTCAATACAAAATGGCAAAACGTATGACGTAAACGTTAACTTTAAGAAGGTAGATGAAGATAAACCGCCCAATGTACTGGTATCGAGCCTCCACTGCGCCGGTGTCCCATCCTCCAGGCAGATGCTAATTTTTCTAACGTACTTAACTTCACGAATTACTTCCAAGGTGAATGAAATAGCATCCTTTTATAAAAATGAACACAGATTAGCCCGCTGTGTTTCTCGCCGGATTTTCTCAGTGGGTCGTGATTCCTGTCCAGTCGTAGATTATGGGAAGCACGGCTCTTGCTAAGGGTAGTGTTAGGAAATTCTCTGAGGTTGAGCCCGTAAATTCATCTGCTCGTCCAGGTGTAGCCTTAGGCTACCAGCGAAAAGGTAGGGAAGGAAAGAAAAAAAAGAACACCTATTCCCATTTCTGGAAACCTAATACATTATCGTATATCGATCTTTGGTATATCAGTTTGGTCAGACACCGGACGTAGTTCTCTTTAATAGCTGATTCACTTTTTTCTATTCGTTCGGGTGTATTTTTTTATGGCCTAGATGGGTGGACGGGCTACCCGTGCGAACTTACAAGAGGTCCTACCACTACCTCTTGTGAGTCCGCGCGGGTAGGTACCACCACCCTGCCTATTTCTGCCGTGAAGCAGTAATGTGTTTCGGCTTGAAGGCCCACCTTTGTTGTTGCAGCCGTTGTAACTATACTGTGAGATCTTAGAACTTATATCTCAAGGTGGGTGGCGCATTTACGTCGTAGATGTCCATGGGCTCCAGTAACCACTTAACACCAGGTGGACTGTGAGCTCGTCCACCCATCTAAGCAATAAAAAAAAACCTATTAAATTCGCTTGGCAAAGAGGCCTTGAAACGCTGTGGTACTTGCAAGCGTTCCCTTATTTAGAAGCCTCACCCACTACGCCTATCGACCCTGAGGAGTGGTGTGATTCCACCCTGTATAATGAAGCGCAATAATAAAAAAAAAACGTTCGTTATGGGGCTACATCTATACTAATATATAAATCTACAGTGGTTTTTACGGATGTTCCATTATAACTACTGAACCGTGCAACCGATTGACTTCAAACTTGGTATCCATGTAAAAAATACATGTACTTAAACTTATTTATATGAGTGTTGGACTCCCTAATAATAATGACAATAAATAATAATGTTAATTTTAAATGCCCAGTGAAGCGGACGGTACAGCTAGTCGCCTTATACGATTCTATTAAGCTTCGGAAAATACTAGTAAATCTAATTTAGCGGAGTTATATAGACAATTACTGTTCCCCTTTACGATTGCGGTTGCAGGACGCGGACGATTTATTTAATAGAATAATCTATGGGTCCGGCGTTATGCAAGTTTATTTTATGTCCAAATTTTATGTCAAGAAGTCGTAGTAGCTTAAAGGATAAGACTTCCGGTGCGTTCGTGTTGAGCAATGCACGGGGTTTTCGAATCCCAGGCGGGTACCAATTTTAATTTGCGTAGTTACTGGTGGTAGGACCTCTTGTGAGTTCACACGGGTAGGTACCAGCACCCTGCCTATTTCTGCCTTGAAGCAGTAATGCGTTTCGGTTTGAAGGGTGGGGCAGCCGTTGTAACTATACTTGAGACCTTAGAACTTATATCTCAAGGTGGGTCGCCACCCACCTAATGCGCCCATTTACGTCGTAGATGTCTATGGGCTCCAGTAACCATTTAACATCAGGTGGGCTGTGAGCTCGTCCACCTGTCTAAGCTATAAAAAAAAACAGCGCCATAAACTATCAGAATAGGATACTAAATTAAGAAAGCAAGAAACACTTTCTACGTTAATAATAATAGAAATAAATAGTTAAGGTTTTTAATACTACATATTTTTTAACAATACAACTCACGAAATATATTAAATTTTTTAACCCAGAACATTTCAATCTGTTTAAAACTGCTTTATAACTAGCGCTATTTCGGTGAATCTTTCTACAATCTTCTAATATATAAAATTCTCGTGTCACGGGGTGCGTGATTGAACTCCTCCGAAACGGCTCGACCGATTTTCGTGAATCTTAGCGTGCAAATATTAAGGGTGGGCCACCCCTAAATTTTTTTATTTACTTTTTAGACAATTTTTTGTTTTTATTTTTTTATGATACAGCATACAAAAAAAAATACATATAACCCTAAATTTTCACCCCTCTACGATCAACCATTATTTTTTATTTGCTAATTAAAAACTTTTTTTTTGGGCAAGATTTTCATTTTTATTTTTATTTGGTCAAGAATTAAAATAAAAAATCTGATGTTACTCTCAATTCTTCATCCCTCTATGATCAACCCCTATTTTTTATTTGTTAATTTTTTTTGCAAGAATTTTGTTTTTATTTTGTCATGACTTAGAATAAAAAATTTCATACTACTCTGAAATTTTCACCCCTCTACGATCAGCCCCTATTTTTTATTTATTAATTATAAACTTGAATTTTTTTGGCAAGATTTTCATTTTTATTTTTATTTTGTCATTAATAAAATAAAAAATCTGGTGTTACTCTCAATTTTTCATCCCTCTATGATCAACCCCAATTTTTTATTTGTTAATTATAAACTTTAATTTTTTTGGCAAGATTTTTTTATTATTTATGTCATGACAAAATAAAAAAAATCATATTACTCTCAATTTTCACTCTTATACAATCAATCCCTATTTTTCCATCTCGATTTTAATTTTTTTTATTCTATGCACAGATCCGCAATAAGGTTGCAAGATGGCAATCAAATATTGTAATTTTATTGTAGTACAATAAATTCTTATTCAGAGTTTATAATTTCAAGTTCCTTTAATTATGATTTTTTTAAATTCAATTTGATCTCCCACCCTCGGTGGTCGACTACTGATCAACTATCAATCGATCAGTTATCCCCGCCAGGTGTCACCACTCATCCAGCAAACATCACGTAGTAGGGATGAGGACGAAGCCGGTCTCCTGTCTTACTACCTATACATCACTTAATATATTTGAGAGCTATACAATACTATACATTTTTCAGCAATGTTTTATTGGTTTTATTTGTGTATCAATAGTATGTTCAGTAGGTGTCTGAGAATCGGCTACTATCTATTTTTCATACCCCTAAGTGATAAGGGTTGTCCACCCCAAACATTTATTTTTTATTTTTATTTTTTGGATAATTTTTTTTTTGCATATAATGAGGTATTATGTGGTTGGATGAGGTTTTTTTTTCTACACTAAAATTTCCCTAGAAATCTTATTTAAGGCAACACAACGTTTGCCGGGTCAGCTACTAACTTTATATTTACAGGTGGACACTTTTTTAATTTGTTCCCTATACAAGATGTTACTCCTTACTTTTACCCTCCATAGTTACTTTAGTGGTATTTTCTGTTTTTTTTTTATTTTGTTTTTTTAAGCCTAATCTGATGGTCTTGGGAGGAGACCATATCAGCGTCACCGGGCGAGACAATAACTTTATATTTACAGGTGGACACTTTTTTAACTTGGTCCCTATACAAGACGGTGCTTCTTACTTCTACCCTCCATAATAACAAGCCTTAGCGCGATCAACTTAAAAATAAAAATTTAAATCTCTTTCAGACAATAAAACGGGTACGCGAAACCCTGTGCCCGTCGAACGGCGAGAGCTCTACACAAAATGGCGCCGGCTCTAGCGCGTCTCAGCCGCGACCGGCCGCCTCCGACATCTCCCATCTCATCAAGAGGAAGCGGAAGGCCAGCAACGAACCCGAGGCGTCTCCCGCGAAGAAGATGAACACGTGAACGCGCATCTACCGTTGTATGGGTCTCACCGTTACTTGGACTGAACAGAATCAAACGTGTTTGGAATTGATGTGGACTCTAATTTTTTTTTTTTATAAATTCGTAGCGAACTCCGACCACGTTCCGCCTTCGAATCTACTCGCGCGCCACCTGTCGCCAATTGCATGTACTATGACCAAATCTTAAAGGGTGGTATCATTGTAAATAGTTTCAACTCGAGCAGATAAGCGACGTTTGTTGATGTTTGCAAGGACCAAACCTTCTTCGATATTGGACTTCATACAAAAAAAAAATATTGGCCCTTTAAATCGAATTAGAATCAGTTAACGTTAACGACCCAGACAATGATAAAGAGTACAAAACAATGATGTCGAAACACAGCAAAAGTAGAAAAAAATTATTAAAGAAAAAATCATTGAAATTTTACAGCATTTGCCTTCCACATATTATACGTCTTTGGCCATTTTTGTATCTAACAAAAAAAAAATGATTTCCAAAATGTTGAAACTTTAAAGTAAAAAAATGATGAACTAGAATTATGGCTAAAATTGCTTTGGTTAATATGAATGCGGACGTAATAACGTATGTTTTTTTAGACTTTAAGTGTACTATTATAATAAATTAGGCTTCGTAAGACTATAGTTCGTATAATTGACTGTTAGAGACGATACGTTATATTTATTCAACATCCACAAAACGTTAAGTGTTCACAAGTGCTCACGATCAGTTGGTAATTGTTGTTGTATTGGTAATGATAAGAATACTTAAGGTCTGATTCGCTTCTGTTGTCTGAATTGTGAGTTTAGGATTTAATCTCACTATTAAATGAAATCGAATGATAAAAAATACGACAAAAAACTTACAATTCGATAATTACATTGATTAATTGATTGATAAAGTATACGTAAATGTGATAAGAAACTTTGTTGATTAAATATGATAACAGCGACTGAAGATATATATTTCAAATTATTTTTTTAATATCACGATGATTCATGATAAGCAACGATAACATTATTATTATTATCTATGGCTAGCTGATTCATAGTAAAATAAAATTGTCAGATGACGCTGAATAAAAAAAATCGCTCAATAAATAAATTGTGTTAATAGTGCTACCCATGGACATCAGCAAGGTCCTCTCGCAGGTCCATTTGCGGGTTTGTCGGCAGTTTGTATGTAATCAGATCGTGGCCGTGCCATTGTTTTAAAAAATCCTTTCAGCTAAGGATAAATAATAGTTTCAAAAGCTACACCCTGTATAAGGATTCAATGCATCCTAGTTTGAGGTTTTTATATCGGATTAGGTAGGTAGTAAATTCGATAATGTAATTTACACATTACATATATCAGATTTATTTGTACAGCTGCCTGACTTTATTATAACTGTGTTATAATGTTAGTTATTCCAATGACTTTGACCTCATTCCGGAGACTAGTTAGATATTTCTGTTGTAATGTCTCCGGTAACCACTTAAAGAGAAAGGGAGTGCTCATCTGACTAAAAAAAAAACCATATCGACGCTTGAAAGGCAAACATGACTAAGCGACAATAACTGCTTTGTACATTAATTATAGGCAATAACCATATTCGATGCGCAAAAAATATATATTTCTAGGTCTATTAAAATAATTTCAATCCTACAGCTACTAACTAGATTCTACTACAGCTAGATTCGTTAAAATAAATTTTGTTTTCAGGTATTTCAACTTNAAAAAAAAACCATATCGACGCTTGAAAGGCAAACATGACTAAGCGACAATAACTGCTTTGTACATTAATTATAGGCAATAACCATATTCGATGCGCAAAAAATATATATTTCTAGGTCTATTAAAATAATTTCAATCCTACAGCTACTAACTAGATTCTACTACAGCTAGATTCGTTAAAATAAATTTTGTTTTCAGGTATTTCAACTTTAAATTAGACTACTGTAAAGTTCACGCATTGTCGCTTAGTCACGTTTGCCTTTCAAGCGTCGATATTGAATCTAAGAAAAACCGTGTTATGTTTGTTCGATGATGTAACATATTTTTATCTAGCTAGTTAATTATGAAACGAAATGTCTAAAGTTTATGTAGTTAGATTAAGATTTTACTAATTAAAATTACACACGTTTGAACACTGATTTTTTTTTTAAAAAATATTGTTTTTTTTTTTTCGATTTTAAACTTATGCATTTCAATTACTAAAACATAATAGACCAATATTGTTCGTATTGACAGGTTATTTTTTTTTAACAAATCAACTACTGAATTAAATTTTTAAAAAATTATCTAAAAATATGAGAACGTTTTGTATAAAAAGTTTTGGTATGGTGGTATATCAAGGGGTGAAAAGCTATTTAGTTAAGGCGACATTTTCTCATTCTTTACAGGAGAGGCATTTAAGTTGAAAATTTGTAAAAAATATCATAACAAAAAAAGCTTGTTCATCTATTTGAATGGAGTAAACTTAATTGACGTTCAATTAAAAACATGGACCTGTTGATGCTAGTACCAAATAAAACGCACCATTAATTACAAAGATAAATGTCGTGTATTAAGCGAATGTCGCCTTCACCCTCAATATAATTAATGTGTTATAAATTGAAATCTAATGATATTGTAGTATATTCTAGAATCTTTTGTATGGAACGTTACTGAACTTTAGTGGCTAAGTATTCGATATTGGGCATCAGTGAAATCAAACATTAAATTATTTGTTAAACCATATTACTGGACCGTTAAACGCGTTCCTTTGTTTAAAAATAGAACTACTCAAATGCCATCTGTTGTGCGTTGATGATAATATTTTCAGAAGCAGTTTGCAGACGCATGTACTTTTTTTAGGGTGATTTAATAATCCGTGGTTAGGTACTTGATAACAAATTTAGAATGATGAATTGTTTGGTATATTACTCGTAATATTTATATTGTATGGTAAGGATGATGGTTTCACCTTAAATCACACCACGCTTAAAAAATTTCGTTGTAAAGAAAGCGTTTTTTTTAAATAATACTCAGTAGCTTTGAGATGTTATTATACTGTTTCGGATTTCGCGAGGTCCTTGACCTATTGCTAAGGAAATACTACAAAACGGTCAAATGTATTTCTTTTGGCTAATCTGTTTTGATCATATTTTTAAAAATATACGATTTTAGATTTAAAATCAATATTCTTTATTGTATAGTAATAAAAAAGGCCTTGTTCTTATTTAAAGTGTGACCGTCATCTGTGCCTCATATAAATCTGTTGTCATTTGCTTTCGGTTGAGCGGTATTAATTACACGTTCATCGAAATGTACGTTGCACTAAAACTATCGAGAGAGGTTTTATGAATAACATGTATCAGTTTCTCATGATTTTATTTAAAATTTAACTTTATTTCTATATTGTAAGATTTATTTTCAAATAAACACTAGTTTTGGTAACCTCTTTTTTATTTGTCGTGAATCCTTCGACAAAAATGTCAAAATTGTGAAATGTCAGATTTGACGTGACGTTTGTTGTGGTGTGGCCGTCACACGGTTTTAATTTTTTTTTAATTATTGAATTTTTTTGTTTGTTTGAAAACTAAATTCACGTTATGGCAGACGGCGACGCTCCCGAACTACCGAAGCACATGACGTTCTCGAAATCGGATGTTCCGTTAATAGGGGCGTTGCTAGATTTCTTAGAGACTAGTTTTCAGTACATAAGACTCCAGACTTTCGCTCAAGCCGAGAAACTGAACGCCAAGTCCTCGAGGTCTAGTTTGTCGCCAAGTTTCGCGGCATTAGTATGCTTTGTGCTCGGTATCGTGTCTAACGTCAAATTCGAGGTGGTCACTTTCGATCGCGAACCCCTGGCCAATGACTTACACTACATGCTGATGAGTAAAGAAGATAAACTATATATCGACGACATTGATGTTTCGCGTGAGTGTTTTTTGATACAGCTGGTCAAAGTTTTTGTTAATTACAGGAACGTGGGAAATTTATAATAAATGTCTGTTTGTGTATCTCTAAAAAAATAATTTTAAATTACTTTAAAATTTCTAATGTCGGCGATAGGGAATTGTACTTCAGCTGAAAAAACCTTGAAGACGTCAGTCATCCCTAGTACTTCCAGACATAATTACTTCATTACGCTACGTAGGTCACCCGTGACCCACATGACAGTCAAAAGGGATAAACTGCTTTTAGGACTTTCATGTCGCATTTATTATCGTCATGTATACACACATCACGTCAGCAAGGTCAATATTGAAATAATGACGAATAAGTGCCACTCGGCCGTGACCACGAAAACGAATGCATTCGGAACGTCCTATAAAACATGACAATAATAAACGCCAAATTAAACCAGGAAAATAGTTTGGTATATCAGCGACTAGCGAAAAATCAAAGAACAAACTGTTTCCAGAGCATTTTTAGGGTTGTTAATTTTTTCACACAAATCGATACCTAGTTATTTTGATGAAATACATTCCCTTGTTCAACGTAACTAATTTATGTGTATTATCTGTGGTTCAACGCGCGCGCCTCCTATTTTTTTGTACCGTAAAATGGGGCGATTAGGGACAAATTCCAACTTTATGAGCAATTTTAAGTTAGTTGTTGATGTATATAATGCTATATCAGGATCAAAATGATTGAGTCTTGGGGGCATCTTTGTTGTTTAATTTAAAATTATGCAACTAGCATTCCAGTTTAAGCAAAAAATGCAAAAATATGTGTAATCCCTATTTACCCGAAAATTGCGGTTAATTGGGACGAAATGAGAAATTTGTTAGGGTTGGCACTACTTTTATTTTTATATATAGTTTTAATTTATTTATTTATTTAGTTGCACCAACAAAGTGATCATCAATAAAAAAAATTGAAAAACTGACAAAAGTACATGGCAGACATCACCTCAATTATAGGTGCAATCGACAGTGCTGATATTTCTATCTGGGTTAAGAGATTAGGTGTGTCGGTTATTCCATGGATTAATCAGATGAATACCCCCACTCTGAACAAATATTAAATATTTTATTATGTATTACTTAGACATTTTTGTCCACCTTGAGATTTCATTGATCTTGTTACATGTCTCTGCAAAATCGACTTACTTATATTAAATTGCTTATCTATTTCAACTAAAGACTTATTCCCAATTTCGCTTCGAATAAACCAGATTTTTACCAACAAATTTAAAAAATATTGTTATAACTACATAGACAACCCTACAAACCTGTACCTATTTATACTTAGGTCGTTTCCATTTCACGTATTCTCATCCCAATTGACCCCTTTTTCGTTGTTATTTGTACCTAAGACGTCCCCAATATCCCCAAAAACAACAGATTTTTACATGTATTTTTATTTAATCAAATACATTAAAACCAATAACAACTGAGACTTACCTTTAATATATATGCTGGTTCAAACACTAAATAACGTTTATAAATCATAGTCGTCTTCTATTATTATCAAATAAATAAAAGAGAGCAAAGTTTCTAGCACTAAAATAATTACCACCACAGGAAGTTAATTTGAAACGCGATTTTTTATAAGTTAGCAGCTATTATCATGCATATTCAGAGTTGTTTTGTGAACTTTCAACATTCTACTATTAAACTACAAAAAAATGGAAGATTTTGCAACGAATATAAAACTTATATTGAGCGTCGAAAGATTTTCCCGGTTTTTTCCCGATTCGCCTTTCAATCCCTAATCGCCCCATTTTACCGGTACTTAGAATTATACATTTCTGATGTGTTTTCCGAAGGTGTGCTATGGTGTGTGGAAGCTTCTGATACTCTCGTCATATTAATAAGCTGTCTTCTTATATGGAATTCATCGAATGTGGTAAGAAAAACAAGGTCTTCAAATTAATAGTTTATTATATATACGAATATATATGTATATTACTTATACTTTGACAACAGCTTTACCATAATTCTCACCGGCTAACATACCAACAAATGCGTCGTAGATATTGTCAAAACCTTCTGTAGTATGTTCTCTTACTTTCAATTTTCCACTGAGGATCCATTCGGTTAGGTTGGAGAATGCTTCCGACCAATGCTCCAACCACCGCGAAACAATAAACCCTTCTATTTTCAGTTGCTTAAACACCACAGATGGTTGAATGATACTAGCTTTTGGCGAGTTGTTCAAGTTTTCATTGTAAGAGCTGATACTGCCGCATATAGCAACTCTGCCAAAATCGTTCATCTGGCTCATTATTTGGCTGCTTATTTCGCCACCGACATTATCGTAATAACAGTCGATGCCATTTGGTGCGGATTCTTTAAGCGCTAAAGATACGTCGACCGTCTTGTAATTTAACGCTTTATCGAAGCCGAGTTCCTCTTCCAGCCATTTAACTTTGTCATCCGAACCGGCAAAACCGATAACTGTGCACCCCTTAATCTTTGCTATCTGACCGACGAGAGAACCAACAGCGCCGGCCGCTCCCGTCACAACTACTGTCTCGCCTGGCTTCGGTTTGCAAATATCCAAGAATCCGAAGTAGGCTGTGGCACCCGGCATACCCACGGCTCCAATTCCCAGAGAATGTGACAAACCTTTTAAGTTGGGTAGCTTGTAAACTCGATCAAATGTATTAAGAAATCCGTCGCCGGAATTATTGGTGTTATTAAACACGTAATAGTCACACCAGCCTTTGTGCGATACTACCCTGGTGCCAACGGGAAACTTTGGATTTTTTGAATCCTCCACGACGCCAACTTGGAAACCGAACGTGTCGTAAGGCAGCTTTTGATGTGAATTGTAGGCTCGCTGGTAAGGGTCTACGCTGATCCATTCCGTTTTCACTAATATGTCACCGTTTCCCACTGGTGGAAGATCGTACTCTACAATGTCGAAATCCTCCCGCTTCGGTACGCCCTCAAAGAATTTGTTAACAACGTATTTACGTGCCTTCATCATTTTAATTATAGCGAACGACTGACTTACAAATTTCAAATAACACAATAGTATGTAATAATTTATCAGATAATAAATATCTTTATCGATATTATGCGATATCAAAGCGTTAGGGCTAATCAGCAAACTATAGGAATTCATATTCATGATTATGTTACAGACTTATGTGTGGGAAATCCTATTATTATAAAATACTAGCAGACCCGGCAGTCTTCGTAGTTCCTCAATCGATAAATAAAATACCTAAACTTTTGTATAAAATAAAATTAAAACAAACAAAAGGAATCCGTCCGATGGGGGACATATCAAAGGAAAAACAAAATTGTTAATTTTATTTAATTCCGAGCATTTTCATATTTATTTAACTTTTAAACCTTCTTTGGACTTCTACAAATAATTCAAAGCCAACATTAGCCAAATTGGTCTAGTCGTTCCCGAGTTTTAACGAGACTAACGAACAGCAATTCATTTTTATATACTTAGTTTGGCCATAAATACTGTTACAATTAAAAATAAACAAAATATTACATTTGAATTTGGAATCTGTCATTTTTATATGATTGCTCATTGAGTTCTCATTTTGGCGCCAATACATTGTACAATATTTTGCGATATTAAAATGGAGTGGGGTGATAAAGAGAACCGAATCGCTGTGATTGCATTACACAAAGTAGGTATGGAGCCAAATGCAATTTTTAAAACTCTCCATACGCTTGGTATTAGTAAGATGTTTGCGTACCGGGCTATTAATAGGTGCAATGAGACCTCCGCTGTTTGTGACAGAAACGGATCTGGACGTCCACGTAGTGTTCGTACGAAAAAGTTGGTCAAAGCAGTAAGCGAAAGAATTCGAAGAAATCCTGTCCGAAAGCAAAAAAAATTGTGGTAAAATCTAAACAACTACTGAAGCGGCACGCAAAGGGAGGTCATAGAAAACTTTTGTTTACGGATGAGAATTTTTTTTACAATTGAGCAACATTTTTACAAACACAATTACCGTTTTTATGCTCAAAGCTCTAAGGAAGCTTCCCAATTAGTCGACAGAGTGCAACGTGGGTACTATCCGACTTCAGTGATGGTTTGGTAGGGTATTAGCTATGAAGGAGTGACTGAGCCATACTTTTGTGAAAAAGGTATCAAAACATCGGCACAAGTGTATCAAGATACCATTCTTGAGAAGGTAGTGAAGCCCCTTAACAACACCTTGTTCAATAATCAAGAGTGGTCCTTCCAGCAAGACTCGGCGCCAGGTCATAAAGCTCGGTCTACGCAGTCTTGGTTGGAAACGAACGTTTCGGACTTCATCAGAGCTGAAGACTGGCCGTCGTCTAGTCCCGATCTTAATCCGCTGGATTATGATTTATGGTCAGTTTTAGNCATTCTTGAGAAGGTAGTGAAGCCCCTTAACAACACCTTGTTCAATAATCAAGAGTGGTCCTTCCAGCAAGACTCGGCGCCAGGTCATAAAGCTCGGTCTACGCAGTCTTGGTTGGAAACGAACGTTTCGGACTTCATCAGAGCTGAAGACTGGCCGTCGTCTAGTCCCGATCTTAATCCGCTGGATTATGATTTATGGTCAGTTTTAGAGAGTACGACTTGCTCTAAACGCCATGATAATTTGGAGTCCCTAAAACAATCCGTATGATTGGCAGTGAAAACCGGTCACCGTTCTCGTCAAACTCGTCGCTTGCGACGAAGGGCTCGACGAGTAAATTAACTCCCAGACACAGCCCACTGAGTTTCTCGCCGGATCTTCTCAGTGGGTCGCGTTTCCGATCCGGTGGAAGATTCTGCGAAGCATGGCTCTTGCTAGGGTTCGTGTTAGCATCGTCGTCAGGTTTGAGCCCCGTGAGCTCACCTACAAACGTTAGGGTTACGCTGAAATAGCCTCTCAAGGCTCTCAGCTTAGGTAGGAAAAAAAAAAAAGGCAGTGAAAATTTTTCCCATAGAAAGAATGTGTGCTTCTATTGATAACTGGCCTCAACGTTTAAAGGACTGTATTGCAGCCAATGGAGACAGACCACTTCGAATAACTTTTTATACTTTAAATTGTTTTATATTTATGTATTAAACTAGCACACTGTAAAAGTAAGAAATGTTGTTTGCAATAGAATTTTTTTTTCCTTTGTCTCAGTATTTATGACAAGACTAGGTATATAGATTTACAATATTAAATATCAGCTGACGGACGTCCAAGGCCTTTTCATGCGTGTAGGTGGTACTTAAGCACCCAAAACATCAAATATTTAAGTATCTAAACGTTAAATAGCTTAAATTGTATTTGTGAATACAATGCTGTCAATTTAGTGTAGATTACGCTAAGTGCAAACCTTTTGAAAGATAACAAACAGAAAGAAGATAGTGCGCTGCTCTTTTTTTTTTTTTATTGCCTTTGTAGGCAGACGAGCGTACGGCCCACCTGATGGTAAGTGGTTACCGTAGCTCATGGACTTCAGCAATGCCAGGAGCAGAGCCAAGCCGCTGCCTACTGCTTAATACTCTCCACAAGCCTCGTTTGAAGAAGGACATGTCATAGCGCTCGGGAAACACCGTGGAGGGGAGCTCATTCCACAGCCGGATGGTACGTGGCAAAAAAGACCTCTGGAAACGCACTGTGGATGACCGCAGTGGCTCCAGGTAGTATGTATTAAAGCTATACACCTATTAGGTTAAGTCGGCAGCGCTGCTCATAAAAAAGCGACCAAATACGTTTTAACCACGCGGTCTAGGGTTTCCTTATCGGGACAAGCGTCGAAACGTATTTGTATTGACATTTTTTTTTTATTGCTTGGATGAGTGGACGAGCTCACAGACCACCTGATGTTAAGTGCTTATTGGAGCCCATAGACATCTACAACGTAAATGCGCCACCCACCGTTAGATATAAGTTCTAAGGTCTCAAGTATAGTTACAACGGCTGCCCCACCCTTCAAACCGAAACGCATTACTGCTTCACGGCAGAAATAGGCAGGCTGGTGGTACCTACCCGCGTGGACTCACAAGAGGTCCTATTACCAGTAATTACGCAAATTATAATTTTGCAGGTTTGATTTTTATTACACGATGTTATTCTTTCACCGTGGAAGTCAATCGTGAACATCTGTTGAGTACGTATTTCATTGGAAAAATTGGTACCCGCCTGGGATTCGAACACCAGTGCATCGCTCAACACGAATGCACCGAACGTCTTATCTTGTAGGCCATGACAGTCTAACATAAATTTGATATAAAAATAATAATTGGTTATTTGTAAAGCCGGTTTATGGACGATAGTTTAACGTGATAATGTTAGTAGCAGAGCTATTCGATTTAATATAGCTGTGACGTCACGGGAGAAGAGAGAAATGTGTCACAAGCCAACCCTGGCGTCGATCGTGCTTTCTGCGTGCAACAAGTGCTCATCGATTTTTAAGATATTATCAAGCCAAAAATAGCCTCTGGTCCCCCATTACAGAATATTTATTTATTATCACTACATAGTATAAAACAAAGTCGCTTTCTCTGTCCCTATATCTGTCTGTCCCTATGTATGCTTAAATCTTTAAAACTACGCAACGGATTTTGATGCGGTTTTTTTTAATAGATAGTGATTGAAGAGAAAGGTTTTTATGTATAATAACATCCAGTAATCAGTGGAGAAATTAATAATAAATTACAGTTTCCGAAACGAAGCGAGGGCGGGTCGCTAGTTGGTTTATAAAAAATATATCTAATAATAAAGTAAACAGCTTCTGGGGTAGCAAGGGGTCGTGTAAATAGCCCTCCTGCGGCGGGAGCATATAAAACGGGGTTGTAGAAAGGCGTGTAAATAGCCGTCCTAAGCGGTATGTGACAAATGTTCGTCACTTATAATTAGCGGAGCGGTAAAACTATATAGCGGTAAACCAAAGCTAGTAATCAAACTAAAGATATAAATTAAATACACATAAGCGAGCGGGCGGGCGAATGATTACACGGAAGCAGCAATAAAATGGCAATAAATTAAAAGAACTTGCACTCACCTGTAGACCTTGCCAGTGACTGTAGTGCGGGCGTCGGCGATGGAAACACGCGGGCGGCGGGGGGGTGACGAAGCTCACGTAGCTTTTCGTAAGCACAAGCACCACATAAAAATACAAGTGCCGCCATCTAGGCAGCTAGCGGTGAAGCGTTATCGATCGGGTAGAACCACGCTTTGGATAGTCGCGGTAATTAGTAACTGACAAACTCCAAAGGTGGCGCCATCCCAATAATTCACTACGCATATTAATACTACATCCGCGCGCAACCAGCTTCAATGACCAAAGAATCATGCAATGTGTCTTGTTCAAACATTTTACAACAATTTATTGTACGTTCTTCATATTTATTTTACCCAAAAAAGGACACGACAAGAATATTCGCACTTAGAAAACCTCTACAAAGACGACTTTAAATCAATACTGATTTTTCTTCCAGCAAATCAAATTCTATATAGATATTGAGCCATAGAAGATTTTTAGGATGGAACTCATCAGCGCTGAACTGTCTTTCAACCAACAGATCCAATACTCAGATCATGGTGAAAGATCAGGCAAGCTTGAGCTCACAAGGAGACTTGACTTAGAGATAGTTGACAACTTTGTATATCTGGGCGCAAACATTAGTAGTAATAGCTCGTAAAAAGATTAGATACGAAGAAGAAACATAATGGCAAAAGAGGGTCATGGCGCAACTTTATAAGATATGGAAAGACAACAACATCTCTCGGAAAACCAAGATTAAGCTTGTGTGCGCTCTGGTGTTCTCCATATTCTTTGGACCTTGAAGATAACTGGTCGCGAACGTATTGATGCATTCGAGACGTGGTGCTGGCGAAGGATGCTGGCGATATCCCGGAGAGCACGTCGCGCCAACATTGTCAATACTACAACATACAGAGTAGGTTTTCCACTATCTGCTTGCGTAGAGTTCTAGAAGACCTTGGCCACATTGTCAGAAAGGATGACGATAGCTTGGATAAATTAATAATCTCTGACCAAGTGGATGGGAAAAGACCACGAGGTAGAACCCCTAAAACAATAAAAAACGCCACGAAAAAATGGGACTATTATAAAAATGTAAATTGGTATTGTTAATTTTACTGACGTAGTGGTACCTATTTAATGGAAATATAGGAAATGCAGTGGAGTAGGGTATTAAAATACAGTTTCTTAGTTGTATATTTTAATTGTCATTCACAAAGTTGAAACCGTGAAATCATTTTCTTTGGAAGCTCAAGAAATTTAAATACATATTTTTAATTATATGTTAACACATATTTTAGTGCGAGTCAGATCTATTCGAGCTTATACCTATTAGATAAAGTAAAATGACTTATACAAGTGACATTTAAATTATTAACCCAACCTCGGTATTTTATGAATAACTATTTCGGTATAGATAACTAATTGTATAATATTAATTTAAAAGAAATCAATGAAATTTAGACTCTAAGCACAGCTTTTCCGATATTTTCTCCCGCCATCACTCCTATTAAGGCTTCGTAAAGATTGTCAAAACCTTCTGTAATGTGCTCCTTAGCCTTCAGTTGTCCACTTTTGATCCAGTCCACAATTTCAGATATGGCGGCAGGCCAGCGATCCCCCCAACGCCACACTATGAAACCTTCAATTTTCAATTGTTTCATCACTATAGAAGGCTGTATTATTGTGGCTTTGGGCAGCTTTGTAGGGTTGTCGTTGTAGGCACTGATACTGCCACATGCGGAGATCCTACCGAATAAGTTCATTTGACTTATGATCTGACTACTAATTTCCCCGCCAACGTTGTCAAAATAGCAGTCAACACCTTTAGGGGCGATTTCTTTTAATGCCGTTGGAATATTCACGGTTTTGTAATTAAAAGCTTTGTCAAAACCTATTTCTTTCTCAAGCCACTCAACCTTCTCGTCAGATCCTGTGAAGCCAATCACTTTGCATCCCTTTATCTTCGCTATCTGCCCTACCAAAGAACCAACGGCTCCGGCGGCCCCTGTCACTACTACCGTTTCGCCGGGCTTAGGTTTGCAAATTTCCAAGAAACCAAAATATGCTGTCGCGCCATGCATTCCCCCAGCACCGACGCCCAATGAATTTGGCAGTCCTTTCAGATCGGGCAGTATGTATGGTTTATTTCCTGTAGCATCAGGTATACTTGGATTTATAATGCAATAGTCAAACCAGCCTTTGTGTGAGACCACCCGTACGCCGATTGGAAAATTATTATCCATAGATTCTTGAACGATTCCTATTTGGTAGCCGAATTGGTCGTATGGTAATTGGTATTGCCTGTTGTAAGCTCGTTGATAAGGGTCTAGACTGATCCATTCTACCTTGACTAGTATTTCGCCGTCTTTCAATGCTGGCAGTACAAACTCTATGATCTCGAAATCGTCTCGCTTCGGAACACCTTCGAAATATTTCTTGACAACGTATTTACGTGCTTTAACCATGCTGAGCTATAACTAAGAATATAAAAAATAGTTTAGGTTTCTATTAAATTTGTGTAATCACTAGAAGTGGGGCGTATTTTGTTTCAACACGGGTAGGTGGTATCGCCTTGCCTTCTATTTCTAACATGAAGCAATTATGTATTCTTGCGTTTACTGGTGGTGGGACCTCTTGGAGTCCGCACGGGTAAGTACCACCACCTGCCTATTTCTGCCGTGAAGCAATAATGCGTTTCGGTTTGAAGGGTGGAGCAGCCGTCGTAACTATACTGAGACCTTAGAACCCATATCTCAAAGTGGGTGGTGGCATTTACGTTGTAGATGTCTATGGGCTTCAGTAACCACTCGACACCAGGTGGGCTGTGAGCTCGTCCACCAAGCTAAGCAATAAAAAAAAATCTTGGACAGCCATTTTAACAGGGAATTGATCTATCTTATGTCACAAGTTGGGTAGCTTCAGGCACGTTGTCCTGGAGACGTCTATGGATCCTGATAACAAATGAACACCAGGTGTACGTAATAGGATGTGGTATATTGCGCTTCTTCGAAGTTGCAAGTTCTGAACTAGGAATGTATCCTAGGCCACGATATTCATTTGATTACTTCTATGTGGCCGAGTGCTCAAAATTGATAATGATATAATCTGGTAGTTATTTATTGACTTTCATAATAACATAGCTGTCGGTACGCTTAAATCGTCCTTTATACAACTTTTGCATTAGAGTTTTATATATATATTTAATAAAAAACAAAGTAAAATCTAGCCGAGAAATGTTACCTTCGTTTGACCCTCTCAACGGATGTCTGTACACTGAACTCCTCCTATCTGCGAAATGAGTTAAATAGCCACGAACGCAAATTTAATTGTCGTTTCGTGATATTGTTTTTAAAATGAATATATGCATCTGTACAAATATAGAGATTAAGTAGGTGACATAAAACAACATTTTAAAATATGTTACCACACAATAATTTATCTGTTTTCTTTATTCAAAACTTGTTAACTTTAGCAACGATTATTTTTAGTTATTCCTAAGTACATAAGATTACAGATGTAAATATTTTAGCCAAGTCATTGTGAAGTTTTTGTAGTTTGATTGTAGGATGTTTTCTTTAAGGCTCTTCGCGCACTAGGCAGGCTGGCTGCGGCAACCGAAATATTTGAGCAGCCAGTTATAGCAGCCAATCCATGCCAATTTATGATCTTTTCGTCGAGCAATTTGAACTTTATCTCGTAAAAAACGCAAAGCAAAGAAAAGATACTTGATCATCTTCTTTTTCTAAAACGACATTCAAAAGGCTTGTTCTGAAACAATTTTAAAGATGTTCACATATACCCAGACCAGTTTTTGTAAATACAAGAGATTGTAAAAGCATGCTTTGTCATATAACCGACATTTGGCAAAACGAATATGCATTGGCTGGCACAGCAAGTGCGCGGGGACTGACCGCACCCACATACATTCGCCAACACTCGCTCTGGCTGCGCGCAGTCAATTGGCTTTTTTTTCCCTACCTAAGCTGAGAGCCTAGAGAGGCTTGAGAGGCTATTTCAGCGTAACCTTAACTAGTAGGTGAGCTCACGGGGCTCAAACCTGACGACGTTGTTAGCACGAACTCTAGCAAGAGACGTGCTTCGCAGAATCTACTATCAAGCCCTTCGTCGCAAGCGACGGGTTCGACGAAAATGATGACCGGTGCTTGAGGTACCTAAAAGCACCGTTAGTGGATCAGGAGGATCCGAAATGACGTGTTTGGGGCGACATCGACTGCTTTCCATTCTGTCCGCAGGATCGGGAATGTAGTTACCGGCGGCCACGATGAGAGGGTTTTCGTGTCGTGCCGCTTTATCGAAGGGGTCAACTGGCTGCCGTGCAACAGTCGCGTAGTATTTTCTGCCGCAGTCAAGAGTTCCGGGCTCCTTGTGTGCGCGGTCTCCCATAAAACGCCATTTATTCGTCTGGTTGCCGCAGCCAGGTTGCTTAGTGCGCGGGGAGTCTAAAAACGTTTTTATGTTCACAGCGGTCACCTTTGAGCGAGTATTTCTTTTTACCTTGGTTGGGAGCCTCTTTGCGGGGCCTACTTCTTCGGCAAGCCCCGACCGCTGGAGCACTGGTTTATACGATGGCTGTTGTAGATGGAAATATCAACGCCTTATTCCTGACGGCATTTTCATTTTTATTTTGTGAGTAACTATTTACTAAAATAGAATATGCAGCTGGTAATATTAAAATTGAGGAGAACAGAAAGAAGTAAAAGCTAAAGGAAGGTAAACTGGGAGATGATACTACCATCTCGTTTTTACCATCGCATCGTCCTCACCGGAGTAGAGTTCATCCATAATACCTAGAGCCAGTGCGTTCATCCACAGTGCGCTTCCAGAGATCCTTTTTGCCACGTCCCATCCGACTTTGGAATGATCTCCCCTCCACGGTGTTTCCCGAGCGCTATGACATATCCATCTTCAAACGAGGCTTGTGGAGAGTACTTAGCGGTAGGCATCGGCTTGGCTCTGCTCCTGGCATTGCTGAAGTCCATGGGTGACGGTAACCACTTACCATCAAGTGGGCTGTATGCTCGTCTGCCTACAAACCTTCAAACTGGAATGCGCATGACTGCTTTCGGCAGAAATTTTACACGATTTCTTCATCTCCACAATCGAGTTCTTTGTGAATATGTATTGAGTACGTGTCACAGTAAAAAGCCTGCGCGATTTGAACGCCTTAATAATAGTCAAGACGGCAAATAATATTACAGTGCTAGAAGCTCGGATGTGGTTGGAAATCGCGCGCTTAGTGCGAGCTCGTTGGGTGCGCCGGGACCAGGGCGTGAGCCTTCAGGAGTCTGAATACGAGGTTCAAACCCTTTGGAGTAACGACGACGTGCAGAGCGTTGAAGTTAGAAATTACGTATATTGACTTTGTTTGCATTGAAAACGTTGCAAGTTGTTTATTTTTATTTAACTCCATTTTGTAAAGTGAAATTTGGAAGTTTTCGATTTTCCGGAATTGCGAGTTTATAGCTTCATTTTTGTATTTCTTTTTTTTTTTTTCTAAATAAAATTCAATCTCGATACATTTTGAGTACTTTATTGATTAAGAAAAAAAAGGTATACGTAAATAATTTATAAAAAAGTGTAGTATAGTAGGTAGTAAGTAGCATGATGATGCAAAATAAATACTTAACTTTAACAAAGTGTCTATCGGTACAATAATAATTGACCATGAACTGTTCAAATAAAACACAGTTTTAACACTGTTTTGTTCAGAATTTTATAATCAGTACAAAATTATAATAATAAGTCTTATGTTACACTTTGACTACGGCCTTTCCGTAATTCTCCCCGGCAAGCATTCCTATAAAGGCATCAAAGAGTTTATCGAATCCTTCCGTGACATGTTCCTTTACTTTCAATTTCCCACTCTGAATCCAAGGAATGATTTCCGCAAACGCCTTCGACTGATCATTCCAGCGCCAAACGAGAAAACCTTCGACTTTGATTTGGTTGAATACTAAACTAGGTTGCAGAATAGTCGCTTTGGGTAATTTAGTTAGATCCTCATTGTACGCGCTTATGCTGCCACAGACGGAGACCCTCCCGTAAACGTTCATTTTGCTAATTATCTGACTGCTGATTTCACCGCCGACATTGTCGAAATAACAGTCTATCCCGTTAGGGGCAGCTTCCTTGAGTGCTGCCGGTACATCTACTGTTTTATAATTAAACGCCTTGTCGAAGCCGAGCTCTTCCTCCAGCCATTTCACTTTATCATCCGTGCCAGCGAAGCCGATGACTCTGCAGCCCTTGATCTTAGCTATTTGACCGACGAGTGATCCCACAGCACCGGCCGCTCCGGTGACCACCACGGTCTCGCCAGCTTTTGGCTTGCAGATTTCTAAGAAACCAAAATAGGCAGTCGCGCCCGGCATCCCAACCGCCCCTACGCCCAGCGACGGCGACAATCCCTGCAGATCTGGTAGTTTATAAATACGATCCTTTGGAGTGTTAGGTTGCGTACTAGGAGTGAAGACGTAGTGGTCGCACCATCCTTTGTGCGCAACAACTCTCGTTCCTACCGGATAGTTGCTATCCTTTGATTCGACAACAACACCCACTTGATAACTGAACTGGTCGTAGGGTACAGCTTGGTAAGAGTTGTAAGCCCTTAAATACGGGTCGACGCTGATCCATTCGGCTTTAACGAGGACCTCGCCGTCGATCAGAGGCGGTATAACAAATTCGACTAATTCGTAGTCCTCGCGTTTTGGTACACCTTTAAAGTGGTTCTTCACGACGTATTTCCTAGCTGAGGTCATCTCGACTTTTGTGGTTCCTTGAGTTTTCTGAAAATTTTACCCATTAGAATATTGTGCAGATAGATGCAGAAGAGTAATAATACAGATAGCATGATAAACAGATAACAAGTATTTTATATCTGATCTGGTTATTCATGGATACGCCTAGGCGAATTTGGAGTTCTACAACAAGGGCAACTTCATCATTTCCATTTCATTTAATTTGGAAGGTTTTATGTTAGTCGTCGTGGCCCAACGGATAAGACGTCCGGTGCATTCGTGTTGAGCGATGCACCGGTGTTCGAATCTCAGGCGGGTATCAATTTTTCTAATGAAATACGTACTCAACAAATGTTCACGATTGATTTCCACGGTGAAGGAACAACATCGTGTAATAAAAATGAAACCCGCAAAATTATAATTTGCGTAATTACTGGTGGTAGGACCTCTTGTGAGTCCGCGCGGGTGGGTAAGCAGTAATGCGTTTCGGTTTGAAGGGTGGGGCAGCCGTTGTAACTATACGTGAGACTTAGAACTTATATCTCAAGGTGGGTGGCGCATTTACGTTGTGGATGTCTATGGGCTCCAGTAACCACTTAACACCAGGTGGGCTGTGAGCTCGTCCACCCATCTAAGCAATAAAAAAAACCGCTTCTTCCGGTTTCTACCGTAGCGCAGCTAATATTATGAACAAGATTTAAAATCGCCCTTTAAGGGCGTCACACACGTCGAACATACGTAACATTTTATCTTAACATACAATATCGTTCGCTGTACATTTTGTATGAACTATTAAATATATAATATATTATCCTAACCACGTATGATAGATAGTTCATACAAAATGTATAGCGTGCGATATTGTATGTTAAGATAAATATTAGTATCTTCGCCGTGTGTGACGCCCTTAAGCGACAAGATGGGTGACACTCATTTGTAACGAACGAACCATTTTCGACCATTTAATTATTTACGAAGGCACTGAGTTATTTAAAACAGTTGATATACCATAAGTGACACTGACTAATCTCGATGCGGTAATGCGGTCTTTCGCAACGTTAAGTACTTGTCTCGAATAAATAGAAATAACAGGACAACAATTATGTTAACAATGCCGACGATGTAATATAAAAAAAATCACAAGAATTACTAGGTAATAGACTAGAATACAAGAATGTAACGCGTATCGATAATAAATTGGTCTACAGAATTACTGCCGGCAACGCAAAATGATTACAAGATACGAAACTTCTGTTTATCTAATATTATTTAAGTAATAATTCTGTCGTACCTTATCACACGCGCTTCCAGAGAGTGACTGAGTGAACTGACTCGGCCGGCCGGCTCGATTGTTGTCCAATTAAAAAGCCAAACAAAACGACAGCGAGGTGAAGCGAGTTTAATCGTATGTGAATATAATGTTGCCAGTAAATTCACCAGAATTTCCTTCTATACTTTTTAGTATCGGTATTGGGTTTTATTCATGGAGTTAATAAGTAGGTACCTACAATTTTATTATATCCCAAGTAACATTCGCGAATGTCAAATTATGTCATTCTAAATTGAAATAGGGACTAGGTACATTTGGTTTAAGCTTTCGCGATAATCTGCTTCATAAACGCTATTATTTAATGGACTTTTTGGCGGGAACGCGGGAAGTGAAGCTGTGTGATTTGTTTTATTTTGTCTATTTAGTGTTTCTTCGGGTTTAAATATGTAATAACGGTGGTTTATTAACTGTTCAATATCTGTGAAAGTGCACAAGTGTGGGAAAAAGAAACAAAGCCGCCGGACGTAACTTCTCGGGATCCTCCAAAAAGTCTACTGAAAATTTTTCAGTAAATGACCACCACTTTACTGAGATTGTCTTTCATCCCATATCATCTTATCTCATTTAATTTAATTTCATCCCATTTGATTAATGTCTCAAATTAATCATTTTCATTTCATTTCATTTCACCCCGTATTGTCATTTTTTATAAAAATAAAAATATAAATAAAAATAAGACATGACTTGAATGTCTTAGTTCCCAGGTAATAAAATCCCTTTAAAAAAATATTATTTAATGAGATCTTACCACGATTTTCGCTCTAAATTCTCGATATTAGTGTTAGGTTTCGTAAACAATGCGTTTTTACTGTCCAAAAAAACTATACTTTTTATAAAGGGATTTTATGACCTGGTAACTAAGACCTTTAGGTCAAATCTTAATTTAAATAAAATATTTATTAAATGAAAAATGTTATTATGAAATTTAATGAAGTTGACACATTTCGACAAGTTTACGTTGTTTTTGTAGAATAATTTTGTAATCTGGTATCCCTTGGAATTCTTATCGGCTCCTATAGTATTGTTACAAAATTTCGACAAGTAATGTAAGTATGTGTGTTTAGTCGGAGACGTTATGTGAGCGTGGAGTTGGCTTCTGTGTGTAGGTATGTGAGTATGTACAGTATTTTAATTTTTCAAATCACTTAATGTCAAGGTTAATTCGCCGTGTTATTACGTCAAACTGTTTCGTGAATTACTTTTGTCTCTTGCACAGTAAATAAATGTTTAAAAAAATTATCTACGGTAATTCTTAATTAAAACTACTTTTATAGTTTATCTTTTAATGTCTTTGTTATTACTGACCTTACGAATACACTGGTTTTCGTGGTCACGGACGATATGGGATTAAATCGCAAAAGTTTAATAGTTTTAATTATGTCTAGAATAGGCGAAAAGCGACGAAAATATTATATACTGTGCCTAGTGCATTGTCATGTGCGTGAAGCTAAGTTAGAAGTACAATCAAAATCTTTTCGCGATTAAAATAGTTTTCCTCCATGCTATTATTTTTTAACATTATATATAAAGTAAATAGGCGATGTTTAGTGAAATTTAAATAGGTCGTCGTAGCCTAAAGGATAAGACGTCTGGTGCATTCGTATTGAGCGATGCACCGATGTTCGAATCTCAGGCGTGTACCAATTTTTCTAATGAAATACGTACTCAACAAATGTGCACGATTGACTTCCACGGTGAAGGAATAACATCGTGTAATAAAAAATCAAACCCGCAAAATTATAATTTGCGTAATTACTGGTAGGTAGTAGTAGGACCTCTTGTAAGTCCGCACGGGTAGGTACCACCACCCTGCCTATTTCTGCCGTGAAGCAGTAATGCGTTTCGGTTTGAAGGGTGGACCAGCCGTCGTAACTATACTGAGACCTTAGAACTTATATCTCAAAGTGGGTGGCGCATTTACGTCGTAGATGTCTATGGGCTCCAGTAACCACTTAACACCAGGAAGGCTGTGAGCTCGTCCACCCATGTATGCAATAAATAAAAAAAAGTTATGTTTAATAAAAAAAAACTCGAGTGAACGTCATATTAGCCAAAACAAAACACATATATTAAACGATAATGTACTTTATTAACGTCACCAAACAGTGCACTTCTGTTTTGGGTTCATGAGCGAACCAGGCGGACAATTGAACTCCCTAGCGAAGTCATGGGAATTTGATAAAGTTCCGATGACACGAAAGCGCCCCGGCGAGTGGACGGCCGTCTTCAGCTTGCTACGTATCGCTTCAGGTCGCATAGCTCCGCACCAAACCTGAAAAATATTTGTACTGAACTGTTGCAAATGATGTGACAAAAAACCAGCAGCGTAAGGACAAGTTCTTTTATTTGTGCAAGAAAGCAGAAAGCAGATA